AAGTACTCCCCCCATAGGGAATGGCCATGCAGCAATCCATTCTCCATTTCCCCCTCCTTTTGGGATTTTGGGTACACGGGCAACTGGCTCCATGTGTTTCTCAAGCCACAGGGTTTGGAACTCGAACCTCGCAGTTGCTCAGGTGGGATCCAGCCCCCTCAACTACATCGTGGGTTGGCCGGTAGTTTGTTTTTCTATAGAGGTAAGGAGGTTTCTGTCTAGGGCATGAATACAGTGGTTAAATAATTTGGCCAGGGTTATCTCCTCATGTTATCTACTCTTTTTTTTTTTTTTTTTTTTTGAGAGAGGTTTATTTTTGCTATAGGGCGCGTGCGCTCGCCAGAAAAACAGAGACAGAAAGCAAGAATTCACTCCCCCCAGGGGGGACAGCCATGCAGCAATCCCTTCTCCTCCATTCTTCTCTCTGGATCTTGGGCACACATGCACACACGCCAGGTGTGAGTTTAAGCCGCCGGGTCCGGCACTTGAACCCAGTCCACTGCATGGGAGCCCAGCAACATAGCCATTACATCAACCGCTGGTCCTGGATCTTTCTTTTTCTTTTTTCTTTCTTTTTTTTCTTTCTCTTCTCTTCCTTCCTTCTCTCTCTTTCTAGAACTATTATACCAGAAAATGGGCCGGGTAACTGCAGGCCCAGGGCAGCTCAGCTTCCAAATCCTGAAGCTTCAAGCTATGCTGAGTCACCATCATTATTCCATTAGGTTCAATGTCACAAGGGGCAAAGTCCCTAAAGGACATTCTCAGAAGACGGTACTGTCTATGAGAGAGGTCCCAACGCCCCCCTCCCTTCTGAGCCCTGGGTTGGCTTGTTAACCAGTGACCGAAATGTTTTCCAGCTCTTTTTCTTCCTGGATCTACTCAGTTAAGTACTGGCTAAGAGCCTGGGACTCATCACACTGCCCGGTACCGCGGGAACACGGCGCACGGAGGCATTCCCGATCTTGCCCTAAAAAGGCTTACGCCTTGTTGGGAAAATGGAAAGATGGTCACGAAGGCAGATAAAAACCCAGGCGTCCACACCTGGCACAGTCCAGCGAACGGAGAGGGTTCACGTGGGTGAGATACTTAGAAATGACTGCGGAGCAGGTGCGATGGTAAGGAAGGGGTAGGAGGATTTTTATGATAGAGGAACTGCGAGAGCAAAGTCTGGCAGGAGTGGCCTTGACACGTCCCGGGAATCTCGCCGTACAGGGAGGGACGAGGCTAGAGACTGATTGCCGTAAAGAGCGGACTCCGGAGTGCACCGTTTTCTTCTGTTTTAGCGTCGCAGGCTCCCGGCTAGGAATAACCCCGCCCTCCACTTTTCAAATCAAACCAGCTGCGCGCACGCGCTGCGACCATAGAGTCAGAGGGCTAGATCGTCCACCTCCTAGGAGGCCGACATGTTGGGTCCTGGCAGAGAAGTTAGAAGGAGCTGGGCCACTACCAAGTCAGGCTGCACCGCCTAGGGACGTGCGAGCGGAAGGGCTCCGGCTGGGGCGGCAAAACCAAGCAGCGGAGAGAACCTGGCTGTGTCCCTCGAAAGAGCAGACTTTTCGAGAGTTGCCCACCGCCCTGCCCTCATCCGAGATGGCGGCTCGGCGGCCGCTCTAGGCGGCGCCTCTCGGCCTCCCGGAGGGGGCGGTGGCCTCGCTCTCGCAGGAGGTGGCCACCCGGGCTCGGGGAGGGCGCTTGGCCGGGGCTCCCCGTGCCTTGTGCGGTGCCAGGGGCGGGGGGGCTCCTCTCCTCTCCCGACGGGGTCTCGGTGTCTTCTCTAGCCGGACCCCCGGGCCTTGCGGCCGCCTCGGTCGGAACCGCTCCGGGTCCAGCCCCGCGCCGGGCCGGCTGTTACGGCGCCTTGGGCCGGACGATGCCCAAGAAACTGCTGCTGTTGCCGCCCCTGTCCGCGTCCTCGGCTTTCCGCGCGCACCGAGCTGGCCAAGCGCATCACCGAGTAAGCCGGGCCGGGGCCCCGCCGTCGCCCTGCGCCCCCCGCTGTCCCGCCTTCCGGCCGAAGGCCACTCGGCCGGCTGTCCAGCCCCGGGGGTCGTGGAACCGGACAACCCGGAGGCATCTGACGCCCGTGTCCCGGTGTCTTGGCCTCTTGCTTTCCTCTTGTCCTGCACCGCTCGGCTCGGGACGTGCTGAGACCTCGGGCATCCCCGGACTGCCTGCGGTGAAGACGGGCTCCGGGTTTGTGCTTACGGAGCCGGGGCGGGGTTGGGGTGGAGGTGGTGTAGACCCGGCTTGCAGGACCCGGCGTGGCGGGCGTGGCAGCAGAACCAAGGGGCAGGTTTGCAGCTCGGTCGGGCCTGGTGGTAGGAACGACAGGCCTATCTTGTTGGCCAGCCATTTGAAGGAGTCTTTTTTAACCCACTTCGGACTCCTGTGGTCTCCAGTGCCCTTTGGGGTCTGAGCTCCGAGGTGTCCTCCCAGGCTTTGCACGTACTGGCTCTTAAACCTTCAGACACAGATGGGACCAGCAGGTAGCGTAATGGCTATGTCGATGGACTCCCACGTAGTCGACCGCGGTTCGCGTCCTGGACCCGGTGGCTTAAAACTCACACTGGGCGCGTGTGCGTGCGTGCCCAAGATCCAAGATCCCGACAGCTGGCTGCCTGTTCCCCGGCGGCTCTGGGAGAAACCATCAGGTAAAGCCTTCCTGGGCCTTTGCAGATAAACCCCTAAGGATTGCAGGTGTGTCGTGGGGGCAGCGAGCTGCCCACGTTTAAAAGCATCCTCACAGTTAAACAGCTCACAGTGCAGTCCTCCGGGAATTTCTCAGGGTTGATAAATAATTTCCAGGAGTGTATTTACAAGTTACAGATGGAAGTGTAGGAGGAACTAGTGTTTTCCAGCGAAGGCTGTTTTCATGGAGTTGTAAGTGGCACCTGAAGAGTGAGGAAGGAAAAACTCCCCTGTGCGTTCAGTACCCAGTTTCTATTTCTAACATGGATTGTTTGTCTTTCTTTTTTGAGGCCAACTAAAATATCAACTTTAGATCAGAAACGTGTTTGTTTATATTGGGTCAGATTTATCACATGTGACCTTGCTGAGAGAAAGCAGAAGGGCACATTTTAAAAGCCAGTGTGTAGGGGGGCGGTAGTTGGAGTGTTGGTTAGGGGTGCTGCACTCCCACACGGTTGACTGTGGTTCGAGTCCTGGACCTGGAGGCTTGCTTTCTCACTCCCTCCCCCACCCCTCTCTTTCTGGTCAGATTAGAATAAATAAAGTTAAATAAAAAAAAAAAAAAATTAAAAAACAAAAAAAAAAAAAAAAAAAAAAAGTAAATAAAAGCCAATGGGGTGCCAGTAGGTGGCGCAGAGGTTAAGGCGCTGGGCACCACATGGCCTGCTGAGTGATTCAGATCCTGGAGCCAGTGGCTTGCAAGTCACTCCTGGAGCTCTCAAAATCCTGAGAGGAGAATGAGAGAGGGGAGTGCGGTGTGACCCCCCCAATCTTTCTCTCTCCAGTGAGTGCATAAGCCCTAAAGCAGAAATAGTCAGTGGGTTTTGGCCCAGTAGATAGCTTGGGGGTTAGAGTGGCCAACTTCCTGGTGTGATCCCCTATCCGGTGGCTTGGGAAATGTGCCGGATCGAAGTCCCCGGAGGAGAGTGGAGAAGAGATTGGCGGTGTGGCATCCCCCTTGGGAGATCTCTTACTTTCACTCTGTCTCTGCCTCTTGGAGCCCTGTAATAACAGCAGAGACCAGGGGCACCAGCAGATGGCGTGATGGTTACACTGCTGGACTCCCATACTGTCACCCGCAGTGTAAGCCCTGGACCCAGCAGCTTAAAACTCTCGCTGGATCTCTGGCTTTGTTTCTCTGTCTTTCTGTCTCTCTGGCAAGTGTATAGCAAAATCTCTCTCTCTCTCTCTCAAAAAAAGAAAAAAGCCAGTGGGTTTCTTTTTTTTTTTAAAAAAAATATTTAGGTGGCTATAGAGTACATGCACTTGCCAAACACAGAGAGGGAGAGAGAAAATAGTGCCGACCTGGGGGAGGGGGCCATATTGCAGTCCCATCTCCATTTTCCTTAAGAGGCTTTAGGGATTTGGGACCAGCAGGTGGCGTGGTGGCTAAGGTGCTAACTAACTCCCACGAGGCCGACCACAGTTTGAGTCCCAGACCTGGTGGCTTGCTTTCTCATTTTCTCTCTCTGGTCAAATTACAAAATAATAATAAATGAAATTGAATAGTAATTCTTTTTCTTCTTCTTCTTTTTTTTTTTTTTTTTGGAGAGATTTTCACTGTAGGGCGCGTGCGCTCGCCAGACAGAGAGAGACATAGAGACAGAAAGCGAGAAATCACCCCCCAGGGGGGATGGTCGCATCCCTTCTCCTCCATTCTCCTCTCGGGATCTTGGGCACGCATGCACACGCGCCCGGCGTGAGTTTTAAGCCACCGGGTCCGGGACACGAACCGCGGTCGACTACGTGGGAGTCCAGCGACATAGCCATTACGCTAACTGCTGGTTCCCTTTTCTTCTTTTAAAGAGATTTTTGCTATAAGGTGCATGTGCTCGCCTGAGAGACAGAAAGCAAGAAATCACCCTCTCCCGCAGAGGATGACCATGCCACAGTTCCTTCCCCTGTAAAGCTGGTCATGCTGATGATAAGGACTTAAAAACATAAAGATACCACCATTAATTATGTAGTATCTGATTCTGTTTAGGTTTTTGCCATAGGTGCATGTGCTGGCCAGAGAGGGACAGAGGGAAAGTGATAAATTACTCCCTAGGGAGACGGCCACACCACAGTCCCTTCTCCAGTCTCCTCTCAGGATTTTGGGCATGCACACATACACGCCTGGCATGATTTTCAAGCTGTGGGTCTATGACCTAAACTGTAGTTGGCCATGTAGGATCCAGCACCTTAACTATCATACCACCTGCTGGCCCCTGCAGTATCTAATTCTTGTTGATGTTTTTCTGATGGTTTTAAAAATGGCTTGTGGGACCAGCAGGTGGTGTTAATGTGCTGAACTTGAGTGGTTTGAGTCCAGACCTAGTGGCTTGAAACTCAGACCGGATGCCTGGGCGTGTGTGCCCAAAATCCCAGGGAAGAATGGAGAAGAGATTGCAGTGTGGCCATCCCCTTGGGGGTAATTTCTCAGTCTCTGCCTTTCCTTGAGTACATGTACCCTGTTGCAAAAAACCTTAAAGATAGTCTTTTGTACACTTGATGTATTCTAATCAAGATCCATCCCACCCTTGGTTATGGCACTAAAATCTCTTTTCTGTCTCTGTGTTTCTAACAGTTGAGGCATTTCCCTCTGGCTTGAGTTGCTGGAATCATTGCCAGTAACCAAATATTTGTTTAGGAAAGCTTTTTCAAGACAATAGTTATTCAAAAAACAATGACCTAGACATTAAGCTTTGGTTGTGGCCTCTCTCCAGAAATGGTGTGTTACACAATGGTGAGCTGTTTAAGGAATGAGAGTAGAGGTTTAGTTTTAGTGAATTCGGCTGTCTAAATTGTTCTTTGGAAAGGAACCACTGCAGCTACTTCCTCCTTCTTGTCAAACACACACGTATATAAACTGGGATTGTTTTAAAAAGAAATTTAATTGCCTTATATTTTCTCATTTTGGTCTATAGACGTCTTGGTGCTGAATTGGGGAAGTCTGTTGTATACCAAGAGACCAATGGAGGTAAGTCAAGTTCTTGCTTTTTTTAAGTTTTTGCAGTATGGCACGTGAACTTGCCAGAGGAGAGAAAGTGAGAAACTACTCCCCAGGGGGACGGCCGCAGTCCTTTCTCCTTCCCCCACTCAGGATTGCGGGCACACTCATGCACACATGCCCAGCGAGTTTTCAAGCCATCAGGTCCTTGACTCCAACCACACAGCCAGCCTGTAGGATCCAGCTGCCTTAACCACACCACCTAGTGGCCCCCAGGTGACTTTTCTTTTTTTTAGAGTTATATTTATTTATTTATTTATTTATTGAGAGGTTTTTGCTATAGGGCGCGTGCGCTCGCCAGGCAGACAGAGAGAAACAGAGAGACAGAAGTGAGAAATCACCCTCCAGGGGGGATGGCCACGCCACAATCCCTTCTCCTCCATTCTCCTCTCGGGATCTTGGGTGCACACGCACCTGGCATGAGTTTTTTTTTTTTTTTTTTTTTGAGAGA